AAGCAAGCGAACGTTCGCTCAGAGAGGTCCTGGCGGAATACAAACGGTGGGACGGGCCGTCTGTGCGTCTCCCAGTTCGCATCCCACGCGAATCACTGATCACTGCTGATGGGCTGCTGTTGGTCGCCCGTGGGATCAGCAGCGCCACCCGTCAGCTTACAGCGGACAGCGGGTGACTGACTTGCTATAAGGCGACCGAAGTATCCTCACTGGCTGTATGCATAAACGTCAGCGATACATCTAGAATGCCGCTTGGGCGTGACTCGTCACCACCAACATTGACCGTCTACAATTGTTCTGGACTGGTGGATCCCGTCGGAAAACTCTGCTCCTGTTCACGGGATCAACTCTCTGGCTTCCTGACATATATTGGGAGAAGACATTATTCCAGCACTGGTCTGGCATGCTTGAAACCGTGTCACCTCTTAACAGATATGTACGCTCACAAACGCGCAAGATATAAGCATATTCATAAGGAGCCGGTCTTGACCGCTATACAAGCTTGCGAATAGACCACACATTCAGCAGATTAGGGAAAGGAATAGCTCGATATTAAACGAAATCTGGCCTAGCACGGGCTCACACACGACTTATTGCACCATCTGCTATACACGCATGTGCCAACACCCATGGCTTTTACGCCAGTGTGCTGAGTACAGCCAACAACCAGTCGACAAAACCTCAACACTTGGCAGCTTATCTCACCTTTGCGAAGGCATCAGCAAGGTCTTCTACCATGAATCATCTATGGCCTACCCGGAAAAGGCATGCGCCACCAACTAGGGCGACTGGAAAGATTTCGAGAGCAGAGCTTCTGTGACACATGATGAGAATAAAGAGGCTTGCTATACGTAACAAGGGCAACTTAGAGACAGTATGCTGAGGCTATCAGAACGTATGGGTGCATCGCTTTCATGCTATAAAGCAGAGCTCGACTGCTGTCTAGAAAGATCACAACATTACAGTCAAACATCTATTCGATCAAACATACTATCTTGTTCCAGTACCCGAAACGCAAAGATGCAGCTTACAGTCCTCGCCTCTCTTCTTGCCTCTGTGGCTATGACCGCCAGTGCCGCACCTTCCACCGGCATTGAGGCCCGTCAGGGAGTTCCCCGAGTCCGCGCCACTTGTAAGTGACAACATTGCGCAATACAAAACATACGGAACACGTATTGACGTTATACTCATTCCAGTCTACCGTGACCAAGAATGCGGCCGCGACGGCCGGCCTTATGCCGATGACTTCGTCCCACTCCAAAACACCACCGCCACCGGCCTGAGCACGTGCATGAATTTCCCCCCCTCGTTCAACTACCCTAGCACATTCTTTAACGAGACCATGCTCACGAGGACACGTAAGTTTTAGTTGCATGCTAACAAACTTTGGGTTCACATGAGCTGACCAATTGCGTGTAGTCCGTTTCTATGATCTTCCTTGCGAGCAACTTACCGACGTTGGCAGTGGACATCACATCGATATCGCGCCTGGCTTCATGCCTGGTTGCCAGAACTTGACACTCAAGTCTTATGTCACTTTGTAGATGTTATAGCTGACGAGGGGTCTGCTGGTGGACAGATCGAGGAAGGCTTTGTCATGTAGTAATGCGATGTAGTGTGAGTCGGGTCCAACACTCCGGCTCACATCACACGTCATTCAGAACCTTTCCGCAAATTCCTACGCTTTTCTAGTCACTCATTTATAAAAATACAGAATATGGAGCAATCCAACATCGAAGACTATGACACTATTTCGCCGAGTTGTTCATTACTAGTGTTTCCAGTATACCCATCGGAAAGTCCTGATGAAGAAACTGTAGAAGGTGTGTAAGATTGCGTGGGGTCACGGGTAGGCGGAACGTACTACATGCATGCAGTCACTCTGCACGTGAACTTATATGCATGCATGCGACCGGCTTACCTGCAAGATCGCATCGAAGCACCAGATCGAGATGTTTTCAGAGCCATGTCATTTCACGAACTGTTAAGACCGCAAGACTCGAAATTGGGGAACACGGGGCAAGCGGCGTCACGAGCTTACAAAATTGGCATCAATGTAAGCAAAACGTACGTAGTGTGTCCCGATTGGAGTCATAACGCAACAAACACCTAGAATTTGGCCTCAAGTCGGAGTCTACGGATGGGGATCTTGACATCACTTCCTCGTATACTCTTACTCGCCAATAGGCACCAACGTAAGATTTTTCGTGTCATGTTGCCCTTAAGGCTATGGAACAGTCTCGGAATACTCTGGCCACTCAATGAAAACATCGCAACAGTGGCAGGTGTCCTCGAAACGGCCAACATCGACTGGGCGATGTAAGCCACCAACCGCACGATCCGCGTCGCCCTTCATACCAGAGTTGGTGGAGCAATTCTGTGCGTAACAGCAGATTGGCTTACTTTTGTTGGATGAGAGTACATCGCGGAGACATATAAAGCAAGCATGGTACACCGTTCTCTATCTCACCACAACATCTCATCTCATCTCCCTCTTTCCACATTCATCTATCCATTCATACCCCCAGCAACCCCATATCCAAACTTCAACATGCAGCTCACCACTCTCATCACTCTGTTCGCCACTGCCATCGCCGTAAGCGCGACACCCGTCGAATTAGAGGAGAAGCGTCAGCTCGAAGGCGCTCCTCGCGTCTACGCCCGCTTCTTCCGCGACAACGGTTGCGGGCCCACTCCATGGGCTGAAGATACTGTCTTCTTGCAGTCCGAGACTGTGGGACTGGCTGGATGCCAGGATCTGACTGTTGGGCCTTTCGCCAGCACCAGTTTTGACATCAACAACTTCAGCAGGACTGGTAGGTGAAACTTCATGATTACTAGGAGGCTATAAGAGCTTCGCTAATGATGAGAGTAGTGAGGTTCTTCAACTTGCCTTGCTCTCAGCTCACGTCTACTACGAGCGGGAACTTTGTCGATATCGCTCCCGGCCAGGCTCCCAGCTGTAAGAACTTGGCTATCCGGTCCTGGGTCACCATCTAAATGGCATCCCGTCGTATGACAATGGCTCTATATCTGCTGAAAAGGTCAAAATATCACAGTGGGTCTAAAGTATCTGGTCTAGTCGTGAAGATGGAGGAGTTGAGTGGTGTAAGGAGAAATGTGAGATGAGTCGGGTCCAACACTCCGGTCTCGTCTTGCGGGTGTTATTTCATAGTCTTCTTGTCGCTCTTTTAGTAAGAATATAAGATTTTTGGGACGCACCCGTGTATACTTGCACAATATCTACCGTTGCAGCTTACGTGCACGCGAAGTCTGACGCCAGCCTTTAGATACATTCTCGTAGAAGACGTCGTGAGTCTACTAGCACACACGCAGTTTTGCAGGAAAGCTTCAAGCGCAGTGGTATTGGGAGGTCTTGTAAGCACGGGGTCAGAATCTAGCAACTCGAGTATGTGGGTACAGAGACGGCAGTCGCGCTAGTATACAGGTAGCGGTGACGTAGCAGCAGGCTAAAGATGGACCATCAGGCCACGAGTTGACTAGAAACCAACGCAACTTCCCTCTTGAGCTCCCGCAACGCGTCAATGCTGCCAGACAAGACCTCGGGAATTTGCGCATCCCTGTCCTGACCGGAAACTGATCACGGCGTCAGCAACAACACACCGACGAGAAAGAGCATTTGAAGCACGAGCTCATATCAAAACTCTACTATCATAACTTATAGCCCATTCAGTAACGATTCAGATCCACACGGCATCATTTCCATTACTGAAACGGTCGTCTTGGGCGATGGCTTACTATCATGCGTCTGACCTCACCAAGCCCTTCACGACAACAGATTTGGACGTGACCAGGGCGAGTAGAATATACGGTTGGAGAGTTGATTCAGAGGATATGGTGAGAGATGATCCATAGAGCATGTCGCGTATAGGTACAGCGGAGATAGTCCTACCGCCAGATGGGTATAAAGGAGGCCTGTTCTGGCATTCATGATTCTTTACCACTACATCTATCGCAATTACATTCAAACAATTCCAATACTACAAGCCAAAAGAACTCAAAACATCATCAAAATGCAGCTCACCACTATCGCTGCCTTCCTTGCGGCCGCCGCTAGTGCCGCTCCTGGTACACTGTCTCCACGGGCATCTGGAAGCGTGCGCGCACGTTTCTATAGCGATGGCGGCTGCGGTAGCAACGGCAATGATATAGCTCAAGCTGAGTTGATCCTCACGTCAACCAATGTTACAGGCAAGGCAGGATGTCGGGACTTGACCATCGGGCCATACCCTGCTGTATTCTTCGATCAGAGCACTCTGGATTCAAACACAAAGAGTAAGTCAAGGCACAGCTTTATCCAGCCAGATACCCACTGGGAGATTTTGCAATGATAGTTATGCTAATTTTTCGTCATCCAGTTCGCGTCTTGAATGTGCCCTGCTCTCAAGTTGCGGACAACTTGGACCAGACCCCTGGAAACAGGATTGACATTGGGCCACGGGACGTCATGACCGGATGCAAGTCCTTCACTGTGCTTTCCTACCTTACTTTGCCGTAGAGAAGTCATTCTCCCGGCAATTGCAAAAGTAGATGGTACGAAGTGAGGATGGAGATGTAGTAGATTGGGTCCAACACTCCAATCACGTACATGGGTGTTTGCGAAGTGTTTCTCTTTGTTTGTCTTTGTTCTCTTTAACCAACTTTGTAGTCACTCGTTTAGTTTAGAATTCCGAAAACATCAGGTCATATGCCACTATCTCCTATGGCTCGTTGATATAATGCGGTGATTCTACGGTATTCACGCGCCACTTCCTTGCTAAGGCTAATCACCGCTCACCTGTATTCAGATTCCGATTGGAGTAAGCCGTTTTTCAATCGCTCATTCCGAGCTTGGACAGTCACCTCGACCTGTGTCACAATTAGCGCACTAACTCCCGCGCGCTCTTTTACCACGCCTATTTTCCCCAGACTCACCCCACTGCTCCTTCCACCCATTGCGCAACAAAGTCATTCAAGGAAACAACTACCAAACACCCAAGATGCATCTCATGAATCTTCTGCTCGCGTGCATCTTCGCCCTGTGCGTCATTGCCGCACCCGCGGACTTTACGTTGCACTCTCCGCTCGCGATTCCTGTCCCCGGCTCTGCAACCTACGACGCCGACGTCGCCGCTGTCCTTGCCTACGTCCGTTCCCACAACTCTTCCCCCATCCAGAGATCCGCCGCCGATGAGCCAATTACTAGATTATGCGGCATATATACTAGTACTCCAGTCTCCGATCCCATCTACCAGGAAATGCGCGAAGATGGATCGTTCAACTATCGCAGCTTCGATCTAGCTGCGGGCTCCACTATCGAGGGCATCCTTAACCGCCACTGCGGATTCTGCATGTACTTTGACGGTAAGTGTGTCCGTTTTTCTACTTGCAGTACCTGCGGCGCTCCCAGACTGCACGCTGATTGGCAAGGAATCAACTGACACGTATTACAGAAGAAGGCGCTCTCATCATGTCCGTAGGACCCGATCAAGTGAATTGGGCGCATCCTACAACTGCCAAGACCTACATCTGCTGGCGTCCGCCGATGAGGGGTCACGAAGGTGGTAACTGAAGATGATCAGCGTGGAGGGTCTGCATGTCGATACCGAAGTTCTCGATATTGCTTTCAGACAGTGTGGTTATTTGTCACACTAACACGGTCTTCCTTCTTTTCTTCCACGGAAGTGGGATGTGGCGCGTTAGGACCGTATGCGTCGTGCAGTCCGTCAATATGAGGAATTGACAAGCGTAACAATTCAACAAGAATTCGCCGGTGATGGTGATGTACACTTCACATACAGCTCAGTTCCAATCACACATGAACATCTGGGATCTCTGTATCTCCAATAGTTCCTAAAACCCACTCTTCCTCTCTCATTTTAACCTTCTCTCCCTCTGAAACTACCGATGTCTTCCCAGCCACGACAATACACAAGCGAACAAGTTAAGACAAGCTGGTCAAATAAACCACTACACATCAAGCTTGGCATTTCAGAAGCAGAAATGAACGCGCATTTGGCTCTGCAAGCGCGCGTGCACGACTACGAGGAACGCGACAAGGAGAAAGCAAACGAACTGGAGCCCGAAGCAGAGCTAGATACAGACTCACATACCAGCGTCGAAGAAGAAAAGCTGGAAGGAAAGAGCGTAGTACATGAAGATGAGACGCACAGTGCGAGCGGCCAGAATGACCGTGCGAGGAGGACTTCCGAAAAAGATGAAACGGTGGTCGTTATGGGCGGCGGCGGTGAAAGAGACATAGTGGTGATAACAATTAGGCATGTACAGGCCGCTGCGACTACTGGAGAAGGAAGTACATCCAATGGAGATGGCAAAGGAAGTGAGGGCGGGCACACATCGGGCGAGGTATGGACAGAGAGTCCGCATTTCCTTTGGGGGTCTTGAAAGATCATGATTCTTGAATGGTATAACATCAGTATCTCATCATCCCATTCCACAATATCAACGTCATCCAACGACACTTTGCCCCGTAGTGATCTCTCTTCTTCTATTACTCCAGAACGCCTTGCTGGGTGGTGATGATACATGAAAGGTGACATGTGGGTGAAGATGCGTGTAGTCGTTGGCCACTTCCATCATAGTACTCATCGGGGCTGAATGTGCACGTAGTTCGGAGGTGATGTGGTCAGGCCATTGAAGAGTCATTCTCTCCTTGCAGCGGGACCATGCGACGACCATCGCGAGACCGTCACCTAGTCCAATGAAGCGTAAGCGTCATTCCGTAACCAGCCGCGACTGGAGGCTGATTTCGGATGCTGTCTCACTTCAAGTCGCTTCGGTGCTCGCTTTCTCGGCCTCCACTTCTGTGCTCTGCTCCGTTTCCTCGCTCTTGTTCTCTTTGATTTCTTTTTGAGGCTCCACCTTAGGTTCCGCCTTGGGCTGCGCAACAGTTTTGCTGACTACGAGACCGATGAGATGAGAACCAACGTTGCCAGCACCATCGATAGGCCCGAGTTTCGCATCGAATAGCTTCGCCTCGCGTAGCAATCTGAGTGGTGTCAGCTATCATACACTTCCCGAAATTGACTTTGTCACGTACCGTGCTTTACCACCGGGCGTCTTCACTGCCGCCTCCTTGATGACACCACCGACCTCCTCTCTGTAGCTCTCAAATACAGGTCCCATAATCATGCGGACCTGAATGTCGCTCAAGTACTTGTTAATCACCTTATGCATGGTCACCGTGTCCTTGGTCAAGCTCTCCATGCTGGGGCTGACATCTTTGTTGACTTCAGCCTCAGTATCCCATTCCACTTTCTTGAGGCTGCGCATGTGAACCTTCGCCCTCCCAGCTAAGATGCCTGTGAGCTTTTCGTGGATTTGGTTTTGTTGGTCGTACAACAGGCGCTTGACATTGTCAAACTCGCCGATTGAGGATTTGTTCGAAGCTGATGCAGTACGGCGCCGGAAGCACTCGCGGATGTAAGGTAGGATGGCGACAAGGAAGGAAAGTGTCTGAGAAGCAATGGCGAGATGTTTGGTGTTGATATTCTTCAAGCCAGCTGACTGCATGGCGCCCGCGCCGAGAATCAGTTGACAAAGTCGGGAGTTGAAAAGCTTAATGTAGTCGCAAAGGGAGGTGGAGACTTCCGAAGTCATACTTGGCATCGCGGAAACCAGAATTTCGAAGCGCTCGATACCTCGAAGGACGACTGTAGATGATTCAGAGATGGTGTACTTCTCCTCATCCACAACGGCAGGGATAGTGGTCTTGTTCTTTTCCTTTGGCTTCTCTTCGGATGCGCCGTTGGTTTGTACTAAAGTGCCATTTGTGGTCGGCTTTTCGATCTCTCGAAGAATGTCACCAGTTTCGGCCCAGCTTGGTGGGTCGCTCTCCATTCCCTTCAACAACCGTGCTAGGACCACAGTGTCGCTTGCGTCAAAGTCTTTCGGTTCCCAACGATCTGAATCCATTGCTTTTATCAGTTCTTGTTTCTCGAAGTCTGCAAATTTGGAGACGAAGTCGTTGATGTGGGTGTTCACCACACCCTTAAGTGCAGCACCGGAACGTCCTGAGACAGCTTCACACTCATCCGCAAAAAGCCGACACATGTTGAAGTACCGTAGGAAGCGTTCCAATGGGAGATTAGCTGTAGCTTCTGAGCGAACTTTGAGGAGCTTGGTGATCTGTGTCTGTGCTGCGTCGACAGCCTGGCCTAACAAACTTGACATATCCAGAGCTTGCATAAGTTCCATCTGCAGATCGTTGGAGCTTGGCGCTGGCACGTTATTGCCCACGTAATCATCGATACTGTGCATATACGGACTCCTTGGAGGAGAGCGAAGCCCGCCAGCAGAGGCGGGAGGGGTAGTCACGCCGCTTGTGACATCAAGAAGCACCTTGATCAGTGTGCTTAGACGGCGGAGCGCCTCTCCGATGTTGGTGAAAATATTAGCGAAAAAGACCTCGGCGTCCTCAGGATCCATTGCGCGCAAATTACGCGCAAGGATCGAATTCTTGTCCTGCTGACTAGTTCCTCGACCGCCTCTTGTTGACACAGAAGCCATAGAACCAGTATCGTCTTCTGATGAGCTCGGCAAATGTTTCCGGATGAGAACTTTCATCTCTTTGATCATAGCCTCCCTGAAAGTTGCGCTAGCTTGGTTGGTGAATTGTGCTCCGCTCAGGCCATAGAGACTAGCTCGTAGCTCCGCTCGTAACTTTTCATCTGTCGTCATGTAGGCTGGTAAGGTCGTCTTCGGTTTCTGGTTGGCCCCGCGTGCTTTTTGCGACGCAGCAGTCCATCGTTCCAGGGTATCATGAGCCGGAACTCGCTTGACATGCTCTCGCAGGTCAGTGAGCAGAGTGTCGACAAAGCGTACTTCAAAGCCTCTGCCCACGCGGAACTTGAGCTCGGTAATGTTCTCGAATACTCCGTCTAGTGCTCTCAAGTGTCGCAAATCGATCAACTGCGGAGGTAATCGTGTGTCAAGCCATGAGGTGCTCTGTGTATCAGTCGTGTCCAGCGCGCCTGTTATCAGTCGTTCGATGACTTCTATCCGGGCCATGGCGGTTTCAAGGTCACCATCGACAACGGCTTCGTCGCAGTGCGAGAGTCCGACGATGACAGCCTGTAACTGGTCGACCGAGTCTGTCAGCCTCCTCAAATTCTCTCTCCGCCTCTTCATTTCGACGACCTTCAAGCCTCCTATTGCCATTTGCTCATCCAGCCTCTTCAAGTCTTCCCTGAGACCTTTGATCCTTGCGACCGAATCTGATGCTTCCGTCTGAAGCTCGCGGAGGGAGCCGAGCGCGGCGAAGAAGGATGTCGATGCGGTGGATATGGCCAAAATCAAGTGCACCTCAACCGTGTCCATGTACCATGACAGCTTCTCTTGTAGAATCGCGTTCGTAGCCAGAGCTTTCCGCCCGGGAGGTTGTGGGACGTCCAGAGAGCCGTTTGCCCCAAAATCATCGTTGCTTGCTGCCCGCGCTGGCCTGACCACCTCGGATCGCTCGCTCACTACGTCAAAGGTTCGCGGGTTTTCTAGGTGGAAGTTCTCGTCGAAGTAGATGTTGGGTATTGTAGATAGCGGCGTGATGGCTGGGAGTGCGCGCTTGGATCCGCTCGTTCGACGCTTCGGTTTCGGTGGCCCGTTGGAAGAGAAGGGCGTGCCTGCTAGATTAGGTGTCCCCGCTGGTGACTCAGTCGCGTCCTCCTTCTTCGACCCTCTCCTTACCGGCTGGGCGGCCTCTGCTTCGGCTTCGGCCTTTGCGCGTTGGAAAGCGTCGTACAGACCGCCGACTTGCGACAGGTATGGGTTGAAGGTGGACGGCTCGATGTGGGGTACATTTGTCAGAGTCACGGGTGGGATGTCTTTGGTGGATGGAGGGCGGTGGCCTGCGGTCGCCGTGGCAGTCGTATGCGGCACCATGCCAGTCCGCATGATGGGCGGCGTGAGCAACGTGGAGATGGCATTGTTGCTCTGCTCTCTCACCGCGCCCATGGTGCTCTTGAAGCCGCTGTCGAGTGCGCCCCCAACCGAGTGTATCGAAGACGCGGTTGAGCCACGTCGCGGCTTGTAGCGCCCGCCCGTGGAGCTGGGCCTGTTTGTCCAGTCATGGTTCGCTGATGGGAACGGGAAGGCGCCCTGCGGCGGGTTCGGCGACAGGAACTCGAAGCTCTCGGTCGATCTCCGTGGGGTATCGGGGGAAGACATGATGGCGGCGCAGGTCGGGGGTGGTGAATAGGCGGCGGCATGGGTGGGCAGGGGGGCACATCTATCGCATGCTGGGAGACGTGTGGACGGGTGTCAAGCTCGGAATCATCAATCAAAGACAGCAAGCAGAAGGCGCAATGGGGAGATTGGTTGTGTCAAGCGTCACCTGAATGTCGTGGCTAGCCAAAGTTCCACGCGCTCGGTGGTGACGGTGCATGGGCCCTGGAGCGGCTTCTGGAAGCTTGACAAGGATCATGCAGCCGAAACACAACCGCCGACGGCTCCACCTACTTCAGACCCTTATGTAAGCCACGCCTCTCTTCCCAACCCATCCGCGTCCCTTACGTCCTTGGGGTACCATTATGCTTTATCCCAGCCTCTCATACACAGCCGTTTTCAACATCGATACTATGCCACCAACCATGCTACCTCCTTCCCCTGCGTCTTGCCTGTCGTCAGCAGGCGGCTTGACAGCATCCCTACTTTCCTCTCCCAATCCATACTTGTCACGCACAGACTTCCAGTCAGTAGGAACAATCAAGTCTCCTCGGCAGAAATGACATCGCATCCGTTTTCTGTCGCTCCGCGCAATCCTGCGCATCTGATCAAGGCACGGCTGGCATAATATATGGCCGCACGGCACGATGATAGCAGGATTGGCCACAGTTTCGAAGCAGACCGGACATTGAAAAGGCTTGCTGGCTGCTGCAAGTCGCTCGAGTGCACTATCGTCGAATTCGCTCTTTGCTGGGTCGAGGTCGAGTCTTCGAAATAGTTCGTGCGTGGCTTCCGAGCGTCTGAACGCATAGCTTGGCTGAGCATAATCGACATCTCGCCTAGCGCTCTCAATAACTCGCCCATCTCCCACCGCGCCTGGATTGCGACTTGCGCGTTCTTGCCTGGTGCTAGAACGCATGGGGCCCTGTAAAGCATTCCATACTGGATGCCGATGGAGAGCGAGTATCACATCAGTCCTTCGTAAATCATCAGGACCAATCGGATCAGGAACCGGTGCATTGGGAAAGTGCGGCAAAGTTTCGTCAGTGTCGATTGTAAGACTTTGTATACGGGGAGGCGTTTGTGCCGATGTTTGCAAAAGGCTCATAGACATGCTGGAGCTTTGCATAGGCCGCATCATGTCTTGAATCTCAGCTTGCGCCGC